CTGTCCAGGTGTCCCTGTGATGGACTGGAGACCTGTCCAGGTGTCCCCTCATCTCGCGCAGTAAACTGAAAAGCAGGTAATCGATCGTTTAAAAAAGGAGTGAGCAGCAGCGGCGTGACGTCCTTGAACGATCCGGCTCATTTGAGCGATTCTTTACATTGAACTAAAAGAACCGATTTGCAGACACTAAAGATCCATAACTAGTTTAAAAATTTTCCACTTTGTTTATTTATTCCTCTTCAAACCCACAATCTCTTTTCTTTCTGTTTCCACTGAGATTAAGGAAACGAGGTACGCGGTGACGTCACTCATTCTATATTCAACGGCTCTATGACGCAAACCAGTCGCCAGGATCTCTTCAAAGAGCCGAATATCCCATCGGTAATGGGCACCAGCTTCCCTGCGACCTGGAAAAGAAAAGGAAGCAAAGAAAATGGACGAATGCGCTGTTGCTATGGTGACAGAACGCGAAGGTGTCGTGTTGGGTGCCTGTTTAAAACTGCCTTGTTTTTAGATTAAAAAAATAAATAAATGAATCACATCCACAGATCCAAATAACGTCACCCGGCTGCAGTGAGAGCAGATCGGTTGCTGTCAAACAGACGTCTTTACTCTTCATCACCATCATAACGAACCTGTGTTTGTCTAGTGGAGTCATTCATTTATCTAGTGAACTGTCTAAATGTGAATGAGTCAGATGTGAAACATTTTTCTTAAAAATAAAGTTAATCCTGCGAGTTTGGTTGCTATAACGATGGCTGCTTCTTTTCACAACCAAACGAAACAGAATCTACGGGATGATTCTTGAAGTTATCAGACGGCTCATCGGCGCAGCAGCGCCTCCTGCTGGACAGACTGTGGAGCTGCAGATAAATGAGGACCCGACTCTGCTACACTCTATTATCAAATATTTTACTACATTGGCTCGTGTTTTAATCAGAGAGCTGTTATATACATGTAAAACACCCAAGAACATTTTAAAGATCACAAACTTTAATTAGAAGGCTGAAAAATGTCGAGCTGTTCACCGGTGTTGTATCGAGCTTTGTTCCTCGTCGAGATGTATTCTCTTTCGGGAGAATTTTAGCAGTCGGTGTGCGCGCTCCCTGCTAAAATTTATACATTTTAGCGTATAAGAGTAAAAACTCAAAATATGCAACCATGTGAGGTAACGGGTTTATGCATTTGATAAATACGTGAGCTCAATTTCCGGCACGCTGATGAAACTATCTTCATTGGTAATATTCGGCTTTCCGGGGCTTGTTTCTCCCGCTACAATAGTCAAAGGTGGAAAGTAATTAAAAATGTTTTCGTTATTGTTTTACTCATTACTATTGCAAAATAAATAATAAAAAACAGCACATGAACGGAGCAAAGCTGGTGGTGAACATAATTCAACACAACACCTTGACACGACCGTTAAAAGAGAACTGAGGTGTCCGTGTTGATGCCTGATCAAAAGAAAACTGAAAAGACGGCAATCCATCGTTTAAAAAGGAGTGCCTGGGCTGTGTCTGTGCGGATCTACCATCTCCTACAACAGATCCATGGATCCACCCTGTCAGACAGAAGTGAGGTGATCGGTTTGTCCCAGACATTCGTTAAGGACTACAGCCACCATGAACAAAGTGGATTATCTTGATCAGGACGTGACTGAAAGTCTGTTTGTAGAGAAGGAAGCGGAGATGGAGGCTTTCGGTGTCCATGAGCGGGACGGTGTTGTTTTTAACCAAACAGATGGTAAGAAAAACGACAATTATTTCTTATTCCAGGCAGGACAGAACATGGCTAACTGTTAGCTTAGCGTCGCGAGCTAATAAAATGATTTTCCACGAGTTTCTCGTGTTCGGTTGTTTTGGGTCGGTTCGAACAATGAAGCACAGAAGAGCAGAAACAAAAATGAAGAAGTTACAGAAATCCTCCTGAACTGAAATCACTCAAGAATCAACAGATTCCTGTTTAGTTGATGGTAAATAAATAATGACCTGTAATGATTATGTAATGATTATATATTGATTATCTGAAGCTGTATTTCTCATTTTAAGACCTGATTAGATTGAATATTGTTGCCCTGATCAGTAAAATGTTACATCTGAAATTCACGCAGCATCAGATCCCAACAACAGATTCTCACCAGCTGAACCGTTTACATCATAAATAAATCTGTGAATCAGATCAAACTTCCTTTTTATTGTCTTTGCTGTTTTTTTTTATCTGCAGAGTTTTGAAGCCTTATTTTGTTTATTTAGTGTTAAATTGTGCAGTTTGACTCACGGTGAACAGCACATTTACTTCCATCAGAGATCGTTTCTATCTTGTGATTCTTGACCTGCCATTGTGTATCTATTCCTACCAAACCCAGCCGGTCGAAGCAGATGGTCCTCTTGTCCTGGTCCTGGTTCTGCTAAAGGTTTCTTCCTCATGAGGGAGTTTTTCTTTCCACTGTCGCCTTCATGCTTGTTCAAGATGAGAGTTCAGTGATGGAGTTAAACTCAAAGCTGCTCCTCAGATAAATAATGTTCAATTATTATTTTATAGATGAATGTTTCTGTTAAATTATTATTTTATACATGAATGTTTCTGTTAAATTATTATTTTATACATGAATGTTTCTGTTAAATTATTATTTTATAGATGAATGTTTCTGTTAAATTATTATTTTATAGATGAATGTTTCTGCTCAATTATTATTTTATAGATGAATGTTTCTGTTCAATTATTATTTTATAGATGAATGTTTCTGTTAAATTATTATTTTATACATGAATGTTTCTGTTAAATTATTATTTTATACATGAATGTTTCTGTTCAATTATTATTTTATAGATGAATGTTTCTGTTCAGTCCCTGAGACGATTCTGTTGTGACTTGGAGCTGAAGGAATAAACTGAATTGAATTAAAGGCATCCTCGTGTATCAAGTTTTAATTTTCTCTTCAATACAAACTGTTAGCATTAGGTTTTCTCATTATTTATCTAAAACTTCTGTATTTTTGTGTGACCTGCAGATGTTCAGCAGCTGTTTGTGGCTAAAGAGGAGGTTCCTCTTGAACGGCGCTCCAGTCTGGCCCAGCTGGACTCAGAACCCCTCTACATAAAGGAGGAAGAGGAGGAGCTGTGGAGCAGTCAGGATGAAGCAGAGACTCCGATCAAGTTCCCTTTAACTGTTATTGTGAAGAATGAAGATGATGAAGAGGAAGACCGGTACTTACATTTTCAGAGCCAAATGGAAGGCAGTCGAGAGGCGGAACCAAGCAGCAGCTTGATTCAGTCATTCAAAACAGAAACTGATGAAGAGGACTGTGGAGGACCAGAACCAGACTGGAACCATGATCCAACTTGTTACTTTCAGTTAAATGCTGATGAAAAGGATTCTCCTGAGACTGAAGTCAGTGATGAAGATGAATTTGGACAGGAACCTTTGTCAGATTTTGGAAGTGAAGTTGAAAGAGACGAATGTTTTCCGGGAATGGAAGCGCTCAGGTCAGATGTAAACTGCAATGGAGGCCATGACGTCGCCAAGGCGACCTTCAGCTGCTTAGAGTGTGACAAGCAATATTCCTACAAACAGTCTCTTCATCGACACATGAAGTGTCACTCTACGAGTTTGGATGAAACAAAAAGTGGGCTGGAAGATGAAGAGTTGCACACGAAGGGCAAGAAGAAAAATAAAACCTTCATTTGTGACATCTGTGGTCAAAAGTTCAACCAAAGGACAAACCTTAGTACACACAGGAGAGTCCATACTGGGGAGAGGCCTTACAAATGTGATGTGTGTGGGAAAAGATTCACCCAGAGGGGAAACTTACGAAACCACAGAAGAATTCACACGGGAGAGAAACCGTTCATATGTGACTTCTGTGGCGAGAGATTCAGAAATCAGGGCATCCTGCAGGCCCACATGAAGGTCCACACAGGAGAAAAACCATTTGCTTGTGATGTTTGTGGTAGGAAATTTAGCCGGAAGGTCCATTTTAATACCCACATGAGAGTCCACACAGGAGAGAGGCCGTTTGGTTGTGGCATTTGTGGCAAAGAATTCAGCCACAAGACCCATTTTCAAGAGCACATAAGAGTTCACACTGGAGAAAAACCTTTTTCCTGTGGCGCCTGTGGGAAAAGATTCAGACTTCAGTGTAACCTAAAGAGACACATCAGGGTTCACACAGGAGAGAAGCCCTTTGCCTGCAGTCAATGTAGTAAAACCTTTAGTTGCAACGCTCATCGAAAAAGACACATGAAGACTCACACAGGAGAGAAACCCTTCGCTTGTGATGTTTGTGCTGAAAGATTTACTGGACCGGGACTCCTGAGGACCCACATGAGAGCCCACACAGGAGAGAAGCCGTTCAGCTGCGATGTTTGCGGGAAAACATTCATGTACATCTCCGCCCTGAAAAGACACGCAGTCGTCCACATGGGAGAGAAACCGTTCTGCTGCGACGTCTGTGGTGGAAGATTCTCACAGCAGACCTATCTGAGGAGCCACATGAAAACCCACTCTACAGACGTCGATAAAAACTAATAAAACTTGCCCTTTTGCGTGTATTTGTGTAAAGTTACACATTGTTAATCTATGAGGCTGTTAAATAAGTGCAGTGCTTCCGTGTTTTCTGATGACTGACATTAGAATAAACGAGTTAGGAGGAACTCGATTAAAACAAGTTCATGTTAATTTCCTGGTGATATAAACTATTTGTTGGTTTGGTGTCTGTAACAGTGAAGATACGACTGAAAACACTTGTTCGTCGTGTTTAGGAGCCATTTTATATCAAGCGTTAAAAACAGGAACTGCTCAGCTTCGAGGACAAAGACCTTCAGGACGTCTGGAGGACAGTTGGACATAAATCAGAACCGTTCTGCAGGATCACAAACAGAACAAAGCTTATCTCGGCACAGAGATCTCGTTTTATTTACACACGGACAGTCCCGAAGAACGAGCGTTTAATTAGAATTTCTTTGAAATATCAAGACTGTTGGAAAAATATCAGCATATTCTATAAACGGGGTTCGTGTCTTCAGTCCTGTTGTGACAGATTGTGGTTCCTGCTGGGAGGCAGAACAGATGAACAGAACCTCCTCGTTGCTGAGCACCATCTGCACGCACAGAACCTTCTGTTGGGCCGAACCGTTTCAGCATCAAACGCTGCCACTCAAAACAGAAACAGTTTCCATTAAATTAACACTTTAAACAGAAAATATCTCAGAGTTGCTGTTTTACTGCAGATGGAAAAAATGATGAGTTGTTGTTCATGTGTGTGTGTTTACACCCCCATCCCCCAAATCTACAGAACAACTACAGTACTGGTTTGTTCAAAAATGTGAGGAAAAAAATCAGACCGATTTAATCAATGATTAATCAATGAATGTTTGACGTGTTCATTATGCATCGAACAAACGATGAGTTTATCGCTCCTCCAACAGACTGAACAAAAACAAAAAGGTGAAGTGAACAGGACGCAGCCTGCAGAGGAAACAGGAAGGAAGACCATCTGGGGGG